GGTTACATAGCAAAGATTCTCCTCCAACCACTTTCAGTGGGTCAGACCCCAAACTATAAATAGAAAAAGAAAGCAAAAATGTAATAAGCAAGATAATCAAAGCCAGAAGCATGAGCCAGGTGTAAAGGCCAGCTAGAAGAAAGCTGGTCTGTCGGATCCATCAGATGTTTTCAGGGCATCCACCCGGCCCTGGAGGTGGGAGGATGATTGCAGTGCTGTTTTCTGTTATCACTCAGCCTCTTATTTCTTGGCTTGAGACATCCACCCAGGGCTTTGCAGGTATGGGAGGGAGAGAGGATTGATTGCAGCCAGGAATCTGGGGTGAAATCCACCCGTGTTTGGCAGCTGTGCAGCTCCAGCCCTGTAACATCACCTGGAGCTGATCCACCTGCAGGCACTGCCAGCAGCACCTCCCACCCATCCTTGGGGTCCACAGCCTTGCAGTTTGTGGTGTACTATAGCTCTTTTATATGAAATATCAGAAACAGTTATTTTTGTAGGAAAGTTTTGCAGCAATCTGAATGCACCTTGCCACTGGAGCATCACAGAGTGTGTGCAATGCTGGGAACACTGGAAAACACTGCACTGTGTCTGTTGTCTTGCTGGGCTTGGCTGGTTTTCTCGTGTCCGTGGGAGCAGAGCCCCATGTAGGTCCAGGCACCACAGCAAATGGAGTTGCCAAATGCTTTACCATAGCCTTCCTCCTTCCAGACCAGCTCTGCTCATCCCATCCCTGCTCCTTACCCAGGGCACAGTGCTGGCACGCTGTCTTTGGGCAGGTTTTCAGCTGTGGACTGAGGCTTTGACTGGGGAAAATCCCAACCCATGGCAGACAGGAGGCCCTGATTGTGGGGGACAGGCTCCAGGAGGGTCCTTTTGTTCTACAGTGCAGTGACTACTGTCAGCTTCGATTCGTTTGTGTATTGACTCTATATGAATGTATGTGAATGGGATTTATATTGTGCATTTTTGTAGTAGTAACGATAATAAAGTTCATATGTTAAAAACCACTGTCCTCAGGAGGTTCAGACCAGGGCTGGTTAGGATGTCCCCCTGGCCAGGGCTGCTCCTGCATCCTGCCCCACATTGCTGCACCGCCAGCAGCGGCGCGTGGGGAACATCCTCCAGAACTTCCTCTGATGAATCACCAGGGCAGGAAGGTCATTTTAAGGGTAAGAAGCTCTGTAGAAAGAATGTTTTTTTTTCCCTCTTCTGTTATTAGACAAGGGGGAGGCTGCATAAATCAATGAGTTCGTAGGCAGACAGTGATAAATCACTTCCCGTGCACTGAGTGGAGGTGGCTGGCACTGGGCAGTCTGGGGACCGAGTGCATGGAGCCACAAGGCAGCATCTGAATGGTTCTGTTCCTTCATCTCTCCAACAGCATCCATCAGGTGGTACAGTGGCAGCCCTTGAAGGTACACGTTGGCCATACTCACCCTCAGTCTGATCAGTGGATGGTCTCCCACCCCACGCTCTCTGACCAAGGCCAGAAGGCCCATTTAAGCCCAGGGTTGGGTCTTCAGTCCCTGGTTTGGGTCTTGTAGGAGCACTGATCTGATATCATCACTCTGACCCTGTTTGCTGTAGATAGCTTATCTTCTGGATGGATGGATGGATGGATGGATGGACGGACGGATGGATGGATGGATGAATGGATGGATGGATGGATGGACGGATGGATGGATGGATGGATGGATGGATGGATGGATGGATGGATCTCTTGGTGTGGTGGCTGTGTCTCTGGACCCATGATCTGCTGCTCCATACCTCCTAAAATGAATCCTGGACTAATTCCTCACTTTGCTGTATTTGGAGCTGTTGGTGGCCCCCGTTGCTGGCACCTGGCTCTCTGCTATGCTCAGATCTGGTGGGACATCATCTCACTTGTGAAGTTACTAATGTGCGTGCTGGGATGTGGACCGTGATTTACGAAATGTCAGCCCTGTCCCTGCTTGGTGTTGTGGTTTTTCTATGAAATATTACATCAGCCTGCACTTACAGAGAGCAGCTCAAACTAACGTACCACCCCTTCACTAATGCTGGGTTAGTAGAGTGAAGCACAGCCCCTTCTGAGGTCTCTCACCTCTCTCTCTGTGTTTTAGTCTCTGTCAGGGATCCTTGATTCTCTCCTGGAGCTGTTGGCCGAGCTGCTCCTATCGAGCAGTGTCTTTGCAGCCCCACCACCCTTCAACTGCAGTCACTTCTTCTTTCTCCTGAATGTCCCAGATGCTGTGAACCCAGCGATGCTGTTGGTTAGGATCAGCCTTGATGCCAAGAAGGCACCAAAGGCATGACAGTTCCCCACTGCTGTTCCAGCTCCAGGAACTCAAGAAAGATCAGAGTTACAAAAGAGGCTGAAGTCCTCACCAAACACTGTTTCCATCATACACAAAAGCAGAGATTCTATCCATCAGGAGCAGCAGCTCCTCCTCACACCCCAGGTCCACTCTTCTTTGTTAACCTGGAGGGTGCTCATAGAGTCATAGAATCATAGGGGCTGTGGAAGGGACCCTGTGGGCATATCCTCCCTCCAGCTCTGTCACTCTTCTGCCCCAGTTTGAGAGAATTGTCATCACCTGATTATTTTCCTGCCTGGCTGCAGTGACTTCCTGGCTTCTGGGGCACATGGAAGAGCTGGTGTCGGCAAGTTGCTCAGATGATCCTCTGGGGAAAGGCTCCTGGACATGTCCTTCCTGCAGCCTCTGTGTCTTATGGCTCCACGCAGGACTTTCTGCACAGGATGTGCCCCAGCTTTCAGCACTCAGTGGTCCCCATTGTCCAGCCATAGGAAGCAGGCTTTGGGAGGTACTCTTGCTTTCCTCCTTTAAAACTTTCCAGCCTCTAAGGAGCTGTCATGATTCAAAACAGAGCTGGGGTCACAGAGAATGTGACAACTGCATGGCTGCTCCCAACTGTGTTTTTCCAGCAGAGCACAATTATCTGCTGAAACCCCATTTGGGCTTGTTATGCCCAAATCCTTCCCCACAGTGATACAGGTGCTGGTAAACCTTGCACCTGAGGTGTCCCCAAGCTCCCCTCTTCCTCCTTTTGCAGAATCATAGCGTCACCACGGTTGGAAAAGACTTCCAAGATCTAGTCCAACTGCACACTTAACACCAGTATTACCCACTTAACCATGTTCCATGGTACCAAATTAAGATAATGCTGTTTATTTTTCATGTAAACAAGCAAATTCTCCTTTGCCTGTTCAAAGGAAAGGGAATGTTAGCCAACTGCGGGACTTTCCAGCATCCCTCACTTCATGATTGCACACCAGCTTTTGCCTTCCAAAAAAACCCTAAGGAATAAACATCAAAGCATTTCCAGGGAGTTGTGCATTGTTTAACTGTGATAGGGGTGACTTGAAAACCTGAGGAAGAGGAAGCAGTGCCAGAAAAACAAGCACAGATCCTGCTTTGTTTTGCTGACTTCCTCAGGTTTGCTCCATCCAGAGCCCTGTGTGGGTGTCCCTGTGCCTGCTGTCCTCCCTTCCACATTTGGCTGAGAAAACTCCAGCCCAGCTTGAGGCATGCCACGGGCTTGTAGCAAAGTCCCCAAAATGCTTCCTTCTTGCTCGGGGCACATCAGAGATGGGGAAATGGCTGAGAAGGGAAGGTAGGACTCACAAAGCCTGTGGGAGGATGGAAAGATGCTTTTGGGGATCAGTAGCATGGGGAACTCGTTGCAGCCCATGGAGATGTTGAGTTGCTGGGTTGAACACAAGCCAGGAGGAACAGCACTGTTGTATATAGGGTTATATGACCTATTTAGAAACACGTTATTTTTAGTCCAGCCTACCTTGTGCTCCTAGGGTTGCTGGGTTTTTCAAGATTCCCTACTAGGGTCCTTCACATATGGCATGACAGAATGTTGCTTTGGGTGTTTTTAGCCCTTTGAGTGATTTTGCAGAGTTGTTAATGAAGAAAGGAGCAGACAGAGTTTCCTCAATGCTCTGGCCAACTGGAGACCCCTGACAGCTGTTCAAATTTTATCCAGCATCTTCTCCTTCCGAGTGATTTCTGCACGGGGAGATGTGCACAGACACGTGGAATCATGGAACAGCTTGGGTTGGAAGGGACCAAGATCATCAAACTCCATCCCCACATGCGTGTTCACAGCAGGATACGAGTACAGGCAGTGATGTGGTGCCCCAAGCTGTGGCTGTTTCCATATTGAGGATTGGTGAAGTGGGTGCATCCTCATGCTGCTGGCCACACACTCAAGGGCTCAGAGGCTCCTGGGCTCAGAGGGGGAGTGTGTCCTGCTCTGCATCTGCTGACCACCTCCAATCTGCTATTAGGTTCTGGCCCTAAAGGACACCAGAAAGGCAAACATCGAGCCCAAATCCCTGCACTGAAAGAGTGGCAAGTTCATCCTTTAGGTCCCAATGGCACAGGAGTTGATGGCATCTCTTGCCATGAGCTTCCTTTGGGGTGGGGCAGCTGGAAGGAGCATGGCACAGGAAAACCTGACGTGGGGAGGCTGCTCTGATCTCTGCTTGTGGTTATGGGATGCAGACTGAGCAGCAGAGACCACTCTACAAGGGAGAGTTCATCTGCCCCCAGGTGTCCTTGCACCCTTGCATTATGGAGGGGGGATTTTTTATGTTCAAAAGCAAGACTCCAGACGATCCACGCTTTCTCCTTAACACTTTTCTGGCTCTCAGGCCAATAAATGACTTTGTGCATAAAACACAGCATTGCCTTTCTTGTCACCACAAAATCACTCTCAGTGGGTTTTGAAGGCCTTTGCTCTCTGCTGCCGTAGGGGAGGATTTCACTTCCAGCTTTGTGGCTTTCCCACAGGCCAGACTCCACTTACAGAGAAGTGGCTGGAGTCTGTTTGTCCTTTCTTTCTAGGGATCATCTCTGTCTGCAGCCTGAGAGCTGCCACGTGACACGTAAATCCCCTAGCTCTAAGAAAACACACAGGGCTTTCACTAGAAATTCATCGGAAAAAATAGCTAAAATGGGGAGGTGCTGGAGAGGATAAATTGCAGCAGCTCCCTGCTGAGATTACAGAGCTCCTCAGGAGAGGCACAGCAGCACTGCATTAAAGAAGAGCCCACGTACAGCTGCAATGCTCAGCACGAAGCCGCTCCTGCTGCTCCTGCTGCTCCTCAGCATCTCCCAGCACAGCTCCACAGGTGAGGCTGCCAGAGCCCTGCTCAGGGCTGGGGATGTCCCAATGGGGAGGATGGGGAAGCCCAGCAGGGACGGGGCAGCCCCGAGGGCTCGTGATTGGGATGGGATACCCTGGGCTGGCTGGCTTCAGCATGGGGCTGTTGGGGCACCATCCTGCTGCAGGAGGAGCTCACCCAGCACTCCTTAAGGTGGCAGCTGCAGGATTTGGGGGACGTTGTGTTCATCAGCCTTCTTATGGGGATAGGTCTGAAAGACTGCTTTCCAAAGCCTGCGTTCTCAGTCTCTCTCTCTCTCTTCTCCAGCCCCATATGCACCTTCAGAATGCTGTTTCACACTTGCAAAAGCTGCACTCCGGCTTGAAGTGCTGAAGAATTTCTATGAGACTTCCAGTGACTGTCCTCTGAAAGCAATTGTGTAAGTCCTGGCAATTTCCCTACCACCGTGCTATCTAGTGGGACACTGCATGTGCCTTCCCTCTGCTTCATCTGGTGACAAATCTGCATGGCCTCCATCTAAAGGATGGCTTGTGGCAGAGTCTGTCTGCAGCACAGAGAGGGGAAGACACGACTCTCTGGTCACCTCTATGGGGCAAGGCTATAAGACCATGAATCTAGAGGGGCTCCCAAAGGATCTGCATAGGATCTAGAGGCTGCGGGACAGCATGCTCATAGGGCACCACGTGCCTGCTGTAGAGACAAAGAGAAAAGGGAAAAGGTGTGCAGAGAAGGGAGGAGAGGAGAAGAGCACAAGACGGTGCTGACAGCTGTTTCTCATCAACCTTCGCCTTTCGTTTTGGCAGGTTTGAGACAAAGAGCGGGATGAAGGTCTGTGCAAAACCAAACGCACCTTGGGTGAAGAAAGCAATTAAGCATCTTCAGAAAAAGAAGGAGCCTCAAGCTGTGTGATGCAGAGAGAACACCCAAGTCGAAGATCACAGCTTCCTGATGGGAAGATTTACACTCAGCCTCCTGCGGAGGTCCCCGATGCTGACAGATGGCAGTGACTCCCCAGAGCCCTGCAGGGCAGTACATCCCGAGGTGCTGCAGCCCTGCCAGCTCCCACCTGCAGAACACAGCTCCGAAATAAAGGTTTATTTCACACACTAAAGAGGGATGGTGTCCTTTTCTCTCTCGGTCTATGCTCTTCTTCGGGAGCTTTGTCCATTGCCTCTGAAGCCTTGTGGGTCTCATGTGGTTTGGGCAGGGAGGGAGTACAGTGGACTGAGAGGCTCTGAGCGTGTGCATTGCATAATGCAGCCCTGGCTGGAACTACTCTGAATGTATACTTGCTTGTATTACAGTCTCATCCCCATATGCCGTCCTGTTTCCTGGCCTCACATCCCTAGCACATCATTCTTTGCAGCAGCCTCAGTCCCTGGCTGTCACCCCAACTTCTGCAGAGCTTTACAAAGCAGCGTCAGAGCCCAATCCACGTTGCTGAGGCACCAGCAGCAGCATCCAGGCCCAGCTGAAGCTGCCACCCAGATAAAAGGGCAGGGCTATGTAGTCTGTTCCATGCTGGAGGGAGGGGACGGTGCGGTGGCGAGGCCTCAGAGTGCAGCCATGATTCTATAGTGGTGAGCAGTCTGTGTTGTGACCACAGCAACCTCGGTCTGAATCCGAGTCACTGCAGTGGTTTTGCAGTGGTCAGGCTGTGCACAGACAGCACTTTGCAAATGCAGAGGAGGGAGCTGCAGGGAAGGGAGGCTTCTGTACCTGCAGGGTGGTCGCTGGAGATGGCAGTGGTGGAGATGGTGGAGATGTGCAGCAGCATCTGAGCCATGTGAGCAGGCACATGGTCCCATGTGTCCTTGAGCTGAAGACCAAAGCCCACCAAGATTCTCAGCAATGTCCCCCTGACATCTGATGGAGGAGTCCTCGAGGAGTCCCTCTTGTTGCTCTGGATTCAAGCAGGGCTTGGAAGCCAGTTTGGCTCTAAAGAAGCACGTGGCTCGGAAAACTCTGGCAATTGCCCTGTGGGCTCTGCCTGCAACAGTGCAGCAGTCCCAGGAAGAGGTGCTGCTGCATGGTCGCCCTTTGCTGCCAAGGCTGATCACCCAGGACAGAGGCAGCCCTCGCTGTGCTGCAGGCGATGCTGCTGGCTGCAGGGGAAAGTGATGTCATCACCCCATGTATCCCCTGAGCTCATGTTCCACACCACCAGAAAATGCCTGTAGATAAAGCCGAAATGCCTCCACAGCGTAGTGCGGTGCTCCGTGAAAAAGCTGCACCAGTCCCCATGATTTGTGAGCTGCAGAGGACCAGGGCTGCTGCAGCCTCATGGAAGCAGCCTGGGGCACACATTGCCAGCCTGGTGGCCTTGCTGACAGCACGCTCCCGACCTGTGCCCATGTTCTTCCCCAGCTGGGAACCCAAGTTCGTTCCTGAGGAGCAGCATGAGATGCTGGAGCTCCACATTTGTGCCAAGAAGCTGCAAGACCACAGGGAGTACGTTGGAGGGAGCAGCCATCCCAGCAAGCCATGTTGGGGCAGGACAGAAGCCAGGCAGCCCTTGAGACCAATTGAGAAGCCCAGGAGGACAACAGCCAGCTCATCACAGCTGTGCCCGCACAACTCAGCACTGTGCTTTGCCCCGCCAGCACCCATCATGATTCCCAACTGGAAAAGAATCTGGCCTGCAGGTCCTGGCCTGCAATCAGAAACCAGGGATGTGACGGAGATCCTCACCTGCTCCCCACCTCCTTCCCCTCGTCGTCCAAAGAAGAGCAAGGCAGCAGAGGGACCACAGATGCCCACTGCATAAGCAGGGATGCGGAGGCCACAAAGTGACTCCGGGAGGGACAAGTGTGGAGAGACAAAAGGAGCAGGTAGCAGCCTTGCAATTACAGGCCCTGGTTATCAGGGGAGATTTTAGCTACCCTGCTATTTACTGGAAGACCTGCTCAGCCAGCCCTCTGCGGAGTCAACCAGTCTGGGAGGTTCCTCGAGTGCGTTGATGTAAACTTTGTGATGCTAATAGTGGGTGAGCCAAGTGGGAGAGGAGTGCTGCTGGATCTTGTTCTCACTAACAAGGAGGAGGATCTGGTTGAAGCAGTGAAGTTTGGTGGCAACCTTGGTTGCAGCAACCGTGAGATGATGGAGCTCAGGATCTCATGTGGCAAAACAGAATGTTAAGTAGAATCACCACCCTGGTCTTCAGTAAGGCCAACTTTGGCCTTTTCAAGCAATTTCTGGGGGAAATCCCATGAGACAGGGTACTTGAAGGGGGCCAAGATAGTTGGTTAACATTCCAGGGCCACTTCTTCCAAGCTCAAGAGGTAGGAAGACAAGGAAGAGAGCCAAGAGATGTGCATGGTTAAATGGAACTGCTGGGCAAACTCAAGTGGAATAGGAGAGTCTACAGGTCATGGAAGAAGGGGCTGGCTGCTTGGAAGGAATATAGGACTGTTGTCAGAGGGTGTAGGAGGGCAACTAGGAAAGCTATGGGCTCTGTAGAATGAAAACTTGCAAGAGCGGTCAAGGATGTCAGAAAAGGGTTCTTGAAATGCACTGCAGATAAAACTAACGCTGGAGGCAATGTAGGCCTGTGATGAGGTGGGAGCCCTGGTGTCAGAAGGTACGGGAGAAGACGGAGTTACTAAATGCTTTCTTTAGCAGATGTGCCAATGGGCTCAAGTGGGGGCAGAGTCAGGGATGGGAGCCACAACCGTGCTGCAGTGCCTGTCCCATGCTCCAAACTGCAGCTGAAGAAGGAGGTGCGCAGCAAGATTCTGTTCCATGCCACCAGAAAATGCCTCCAGATAAAGCTGAAATCCTTCCCTGGGGTAGTGCTGCGCTCCATGAAAAAGCTCTACGCATCACCACATGTATGGGAACTGCTGAGTCGCGGCCTGAACCTCTGATTAGTCACCTGAGGTGAGCAATGAGGCAGCCCTGGGAGCACAAGTGAAAGCAATTCACCTGTGCTGCAGGAAGGGGTGGAGCCTGGCTGCACCTCTCCCAGACCCATTTAAGAGCTGACTACCAGTTGGGAAGGATCTTTCTGTCTTTGGAAGATCCACTCCACTGGAGTTTCCTGAGCGAGCCCACGACTTGGGTAAGCCTCCTATTTATTCTTTGTCTCGCTGTGCCTAACTCTCTTGCTTATTTCATTATTATAGCATCTTAATATTATTTGATTATATAATATTCCTTTATATAATTTTCATTGATTATACACCACACAAACCCCAAAGGACTGGGACTGCTGCAGCATCACAGAAGAAACTTGGGGCATGCACTGCCTGCTCAATGCACTCCTTGAGAGCACACAGTCGACCCATGCCTGTGTATTCCCCAGCCAGGAGAGCACCTTCATGCCCGAGGAGCAGCATGAGATGCTGGAGCTCCACATCCGTGCCATGAAGCTGCAGTGTCACGAGAAGCACCTTGGCAGGGAGCGGCCACCCTGGTGAGCTGTGTTGGGGCAGGGCAGCCCTGCAGAGCAACCGGCAGGCTCAGAAGTCCAGCACCCAGACCAACATGGCCTGCACAGCAGTGTGTGCACAGTGCTATTGCTGTGGACAGGGCTTTGCCCCGACGGCCTCCATCAGGATGCCTGAATGGAAGAGGAGGCAGATCATCCAGGTGATGGAGGCTGGCTTGCAGGCCATGGCCCGCAGTCCAAGTCCAGGGATGTGACTGCCATCACCATCTCTCAGCATCTCCAGGGAAGCAGAGGGGCAAGGCTGCAGAAGGACCATGGATGCCCATAACATCTGCAAGAACGAGGAGATCCCAGAGTGGTTCTGGGAGGGACAAGCATGAAGTCCAGGCAGATGGCTCCTACAACCCCAATAAGGCATAATGACCAAGCTTTTGACTTGCGTGGGATGCGCTGAACAGGAATTGCCTTGGGACAGATATAGAATGTATTATAGCGTTAGGATTTATCTGTAGCAGGACTTTGTTTGAAAATTAACAATGAAAACAAAAGTAGTGAAATATTTGCTTCTGCTTTTGTGATCCTAACGGATCGATGTCAGATTCAATGGAAGTAGCTGCAGTATTTTGCAGTGCTCCTGCCCCTTGGCTCTCTCTTCCCTTTGCTCCATCTGTGCAGTGCCTTCCATGTGCAGCTGTGATCGTATAGTGGTTAGTACTCTGCGTTGTGGCCGCAGCAACCTCGGTTCGAATCCGAGTCACAGCAGTGGTTTTGCAGAGAGAGGGCTGTGTGCTTTGCAGATGCAGAGGAGGGAGCTGCAGGGGAGCTCCATGGGGTGTGTTTGCAAAGATGCTGTCACCAAGCAGCCACGTCTGCTATTTCTGAGATGAAATTGTTCCTCGTACCCAGCCTGAACCTCCCCTGGCACCACGTGAGGCTGCCAGCTCTCTTTCTATTGCTGTTACCTGGGAGCAGAGGCTGACTGCACAATCCTTTTCCAGAAGAAAAGCGGCATTGGAATCTGTGGAAAGGTGAAGAAGAGCTGGAAATAACTTTAAAGCTGTGCTGGGAGCTGATAGCCTTGATGGCTCTGGGTTGTGCCACCTGGGCTGCCAGTCCGATGGGCTGCTGACCACCTCTTCCATAACAGTGTCATCAGCACATTTGATTTTTCTTCTCCTTTCTTCTTCCAGGGAAGCCATAAAGACGTAAGTTCAAGGAACTCTTGTTCTCTGCTTCTCTGAGAAGCCCTGCCCTTCCTCATCCCGTCCCATGCTCCCTCTCATTGCCACCCCACGTGGGTCCCCAGCTGTAGATCTTGGTGTAGAAGCTGGGTGCTGCTTTCAGTCCATGCCCCTCCTGACCTGGGATCAGATCCAGACTCAGCTCCCCTGCTGCCATGGCCCCAGTGTCCCCGTACCACCCGGGAGCTGCAGCACACCCTGTGATATGAAGACTGTGGGGTGACCTCATTGCAGCCTTTCAGTACATAAAGGGAGCCTATAAACACAAGGGGAATCAACTCTTTGAAAGGGCAGATAACAGCAGGACAAGGGGAAATGGCTTTAAGTTGAACGAGGAGAGATTTAGGCTGGATGTCAGGGGGAAGTTCTGTACTATGAGAGTGGTGAGGAGCTGGAACAGCTGCCCAGAGAGGCTGTGGATGCCCCATCCATCCCTGGAGGTGTTCAGGGCCAGGTTGGATGGGGGCCTGGGCTGCTATGAAATGTGGAGGTTGGTGGCCCTGCCTGCAGCAGGGGGTTGGAGCTTCGTGATCCTTGAGGTCCCTTCCGACCCAAACCATTCTGTGATGTGGTTGCAGGATCTGACTCCATTCCCCCCTCCATCTGTGTCAGCATTCAGAGTTGGTCCCTCCACCTCAGGCTGTTGTGTGGCTCTGTTTCTGTGACCCCAGAGTCAACCAGAAGCTCCTGCAGACCCGAAGCTCCCCATGCACTGGGCCCATCCTTCTGCAGAGACCCACAAAGCACACAGCTTCACACGAGCGCTTGCACATGGATGTGTATTTTAATAAAAATAATTCTGTCAATATACAGCAGAATGTTGATTTCTTTGCCATATTTCCAGTATATTTTCTTAATTAAAATCCCCCCCCCCTCCCTCATTTTGTTGTTGGTTGTTTTTTTGTGTTTTTTTTTTTGAAGTTTTCATGCGAAGCATCAGATAACTTAATTCACAACTACTACGCTTAGACTGAACCAATGTGCACAATGTGTGGAACGTCCACGTAGCTGACGTTGTGCCAGAGAGGAGGAAACCCTCCAAGGGTGCTGACAAATGTGGCAATCTGCTTTGCTGCAGCCCTCGTTCCCCAGCTCCAGCCAAGCAGTTCATACCTGAGTTTTGAGTTCGCTGTGCTGCAGGCAGCTCTGTGCCTGGCATTGCTGGGTCCTGGCTGGAGAGCCACGGCATGGAAGCATCCCAATGGAAGTGTTCACCTGTGTGATGTCCTTTGTCTATAAGAGTGACCATGCTTCTGTGTTGAACGTTTTCTTGCACATCCTTATTATCCTCAAACGTGCCCTGGTTTCTCCTTTTCTCCACGTTGATGCTCACGGAGGAAGGAAATGGCCAAAGACCTGCACAGAGGGGTCTGTGTGTCACAGCAGTCCTAGGATGCCAACAGGGGAACTCAGCATGCAAACAGAGCTTTGCATGGACTCCAGGAATGTTTCTGTGAGTGCAAATCCCACTGCTTTGTGTGCAGGAGCAAAGCCTCCCTTCCTCCTGGAGGAAAAGGAGCTCCTCTTCTCCAAATCCAAGGAAGGGCAATGGGGAGCAGGTGGGGCTGCTGCTCAGAGGAAGCCCTCAGCTGCTCTCTTCTCCTCCCCAGACCTGCCATGGCTCCCAGTCCCCCACCAACACACCCTCTGTCAGCCTCTGCCCTGTGGTGTTACCTGAGTGTTAAGACTGGTAACGAAGCAGCACCACAGCAACCCAACAAGGTGTGCTTTGACGAGGAGACTGTTCCCTGTGCCTCACACCCACGGGGAGAAATGGTAAATTCAACCCCCCAGAGCTGATTAAACCAGCTCTAATTGCTGGCAGTTGTTTGAGGGAGTCTCGAGTTGGTAATGAGGCCTTAATGAGACTGGGAGGCAGATCAGGGCACAACTGGAGGACAGGCAGAAACGTCACAGCAAGAAAGAAATCATCAAAATATGACAAAACAACAAAACCAGAAGGAAACTGGGCAGATAAGGATAATTTGGGTGTGCACAATCATAAGAAGTAATGCTTGTGGAAGGGGCCATTCTTGTGTTGGTCACCACCTCCATCAGTCAGACCTCCATCCCCTGGTGCTCAGCTCAGGGCAGTGCAGCTGAGTGCTCACCAGAGCCTGCAGGTCCCCATTTCTCACAAGTTCTCAGAAAAACAGCCACTTTGCAGACCTCAAAACAAAGCTCATGATGTATGCAGGGCTGCAACTCAGGAGATTTTCACCATCTGCACTTATCCTGACCGGTGAGCAGAACAAGCTCCATGCCAGCCAGCCTCATGGGATGGAGGTCCTGTGTCCAATAGAACCATATGGGGGCAGGGTTGAGACCTGGCCACCCTCCCCAGGAGAAGAGATGCCAGCAGGTCCTGCTAGTGGCTATACAGCCACCCATATGGCTCTAGCAAAGGACTCCCATGGGAAGTGACACTGAGGGGCTGCCCAGACAAAGCTGAGTCTCAGCTGGGCTGTTCTTAAGGCCTCCCTCACTCAATTCATCTGTTTCTCAGCAAAGCATGAGGCACTTGAAATGAGAAATCCCAAATCACTTTTAAAAATCATTTCTGAGCTTGTATGAAGGCTCTGCTTATGTTGTAGCCACGCTCAAAATTAAAGACTTTCGTTCTTACTTCATTCTTTTTTTTCTTTAAAATGACTGCCACAACCCAATCATCAACTCTCACTGATATCATAACAAGGTTCCAAAAGGCAAACCATGAAGGAGCAACCACAAGAACTCAATGCCCAGGAGGCTTTTGCACAAAAAACCATGGCTATAGGCTGCACGATGCACAACGTTGGTGGCAGGAGGCACCCAGCCCTGCCACCACCAGGGACACTCAGCACAGCTTCACTGGGAGACCAAGAGTGAGCCATGACAACGGTTTGACTAAAAGGAACCAAAAACTACCCCATAAAGAAGGAACAGAAAACTCAGAAGGAAACAAAGATGGTGCTGCTGCACAGATGGAAGAGAAGTCTGACTGCAGCCAGACAGCAATGAGCTAAATGACAGCCAACAGCACAGGAATCATCCAAATGGAAAAGCCACCAGTGGCTCCAGGGGACACTTGGTCCCCTGCTCTGCCTTTATTTCAAACTTCATGCTCCAGCAGCAAATCACAGCATGGTTGGGTTGAAAGGGACCTTAAAGCCCATCCACCCCAACCCCTGCCCTGGGCTGGGTGCTCCACCAGCTCAGGCTGCTCAGAGCCCACCCGTGGCCTTGGGCACCTCCAGGGATGGGGATGACCTCTGTAAATGCAGTGAACTCTCAGAGCTCTCAGCTCAGTGGCAGAGTTCTGGCACCAACTTTCTTTCTCACATGGTAGACCAGCACAAAATATACTTAAAAATACTTGCTGGCAAATGGTTTGAATACCAAAGCCTTAGCAGCACTCAAAGTCCCAGCAGTGACACATTACCACGTCCATCTTACCTGGAGGTTACTCACCCACAGATCCTTGCTGGTCACTTTTGGACCTGGAACTAAAATTGCATTCTTAATCCTCAAAGAAATATTGCCCTTCCTTTCTAAGTGGGTAAAAAGATGGCACTGATCCCAACCTGCAACCTGATCTGAGCATTTGCACCCTGCAAGGCTGAGCACATTTCAAATCAGTCATCTCAAAACAATAGAATGTAGCAGTGATCATTCACTACATACTATTGTATAGAGTCTTAGTAGCAGAGCCCTTCTGCATGGAGAAAAACAGGGATTTTGTGATGCAGCACAAAAACCAACAGCCCAACTTGGCAGCATCCACAGCTCTTCCTTACCATCATCAATATAGCAGGAGACTTCACATTGGTTAGCCCTGTCCCTCTTAGCTGCCAGATTTACCCATTTCTCAGAGGCTGAGATGTTCCTAGCATGCAGCCACTGACAAAGGCAATGCCAAATCTTCTACTTTTCCTACTCACAGAGACAGGAAAGACCGAGTTCCTCCAAATCCAGTTCCCATGGTTAGCATAGGACAGGATGCACCTCACTGCGGGGATGTGGGAAGTGCATGGTTGGGCCCAAGTCTCTGGGCAATAAATACATCAATGACTTTGTGGAGGTGGAAGAGACCTTTTTAATAAACAGGATTCAAATAAAATTAAAAAAAAAAATAAATCCCTCTGAACTGCCACTGCGAGAAGAGTTCAGGTAACTAGCACAGAAGATGATGTTGCATGTGCACGGATGGAGGAGGGAGGGAAGAAGAGAACAAGGCGTCACCAACTCCACGAGCTTCCTCCGTAAATCAGCAGAAACCAGCTCAGCGAAACTCTCCAGATAAAATACTGGTGGATCCATGAGAAACAACTCAAATCAAAACAAAGAGAAATCCCTACATTGGAAGGCGCTACATTAGAATAACCAGCGAAATACTGAGTGCCGCCGGAGCCGCAGCGGTGGCGGGGAGACAGGTCAGGTCTGCCAGTCACTCCTGGGTCAGGAATGGCCACGTGGTGAGGGAATAGATCCTTTCACAGGCAGTGTGTGTGTGTGCTAGAGGGGGTGTTGGTGGGAGCTCAGGCTACAGACGAGGTGGCGTTGTAGTGGCAGCAACGGAGGGTGAAGGGCAGCACTCGACGATGTCAGCTCCATCCTGCTCTGGTGGCTAGTGCAAATAGTCGTCTACTCTGGCAAAGGAACAGGAGCCCAAGCCCACACGAGCCATGAGTCGCAAACACTCCGAGGCCTGGCCCAGGGCAAGCATCAGTGGGGGCTGCTTTGGCAGGTTCTGAGATTCTGTGGGGGCAAAAAGAGAAATTTGTTTAGAAGAGGCGCCTCAGCCACACGCTGGCTCACCTGCAGGTCCCTCCTGGGCACCGGGCTGAGCATCCCTGGCTCTAGAAGGCAGGAAGTCCTGAGTTATGCTGGCTCTGCACTGCTCCTGAGCATACCCCACACAGACCTGCCCACCCACAGGGACACCACTCAACGGGGCCTTTTAGAAAGTGCTGCTTTCTCAAAGTTGTCCACGGCAAGAAAACGGCAGCGTCGCCTCTGTGTCTGCCAGAAAACCCTCAAAGTGTGAGAGATCAGAGCATCGGAGAATAAGGAAAGGTGGGAGAAATCAGCTCTAAGGGAGAGGCAGCTGCTCCCTCTCCTCCATACGTGAATCTGTGCAGTAGTCCACGATCTAGACAAACTCACTCACTGGTCACCACTTTTTTTCAATGTCATTTTTGCTAGGTTTGTAAAAGGGAATCCTCAGCTGCTGTAGTTAAGATGTGCATCAGAGGATGTCCAGACACTGCTTGTCATTTCTCTCTGGAGACATCCCTAAGAGCCTCATCTGGGCTTTCCAAGCACTGGTCAAACAGAGGCTGGAACTGAGCCCCCTGATGCACACTTGGCCATGTTAACTGTCAAGGAAAGGGACTCTCTTTCCCAAATCCTAACATGTCTGTTCCTTTACTCAGACAGAAAAGAACTCTCACAGATTCGCCCATCAAGCAGTTCCTTCCCCAAGAAGATAATTCCTAAATCTCCTTCTGGCACACTCAATTCTCCTTTCTTGCAGCTTGGTGGCAGGTTATAACCTTACTATCACTTCACTCTACTCCACCATGGGTTCTTCTGTAGCTGGAGATGGCAGGATGGTCAGCAATGGAAGGGCAACTCACTGACTGCAAGTGCAAGACTTCCATCAGAGCAATCTATCACCAGGTTCAAGACAGGAGAATAAAGGACAAGCTGTTAGGCCAAAGAACATGCCTGAAGATTGCCTGTGTCTGGAAGAGCAGCCATAAACACTCAGCTCTGAGGATACAGAGACTGCTCATACTTGGATCCACAGGTATGTGCTGACACAGAGAGCAAAACTCATCAAAAAAAAGGAGCTGGCTTGCTAGCTGAAGATAACCAACATATAGCCAGACCTCTGCACCAAGTGGGTCTTCACCAGTAACCCAGCCCTGATTCCAACCACAGGCCCCAGGCAGCCAGGTATCTGAGCTCCACCAGCACACCACACCATGGGAACATGCAGGTATGTTCAAAGGGAATACAAAGCCTGCCTGCATTCAGTGTGGCCTCAAAGGTCAGAGGAATTTATGGTCCCCTCTAACTTAGAGCTAACACTGTGGGAACCTGCTGCATTTGTGAGCTGTGGCAAAAGAGCAACTGCATTCCCCATCAGAAAGCAGGATTGTGCCAGGTCAAAACTCTGCCAACCCAAACAGCATGGAAAACAGCCTTGCTAGTGCCAGCAAACTGATTAAGGTGTGTTCAGAACAAGAAAGAAGAGGGGCAGGGAAATGCATCCAAAGGATCTTGTCTTCTTGGTAAGCTAAATTCTCCTATGGAGATTTCTTGGAAGCAGCACTAAGGAAGACCCAAGGAAGGGAGCCAAAACAAGACCAGGTTGGAAGCACACATCCTCTGCAGCTTCACTCCCACCTCCCTACAGCCCTGCCTTTTCAGTCCCCTTCATGAGAAAGACAGGCAAAATCTAAAGACAAGTGCTTCCTAATTTCTCCTAACTCTCACAGGCTTGCCTGCCACAGGACAGCACCTGTGAATAGGTATGTCCAAGCAGGTAGCGCTCATGTAAGAACCAAGTCTTACCCAAAATAGCACTATTAAGAGCAGCACACACAGGTTCCCTCTGGATTGGGTCCAGCTGTTGACCAACAGGGCAGTTCCAAGGGTCTGAGTAAGCTAACAAGCTAAATGCATCCTGTGTGAGAGAACAGAAAGGTACAGTAAGGTCATGCACGGCTGTGAACACACAGGAAAACTGCCAAATCTGTCTGGGGCATCTCCTGCCATCACCAATGTGACAGCTCCTGCCTCCTGAAAAGAAATGGCCTTTTTCTTCTTGGCACCAAGGGACTGCACTGGGCCATCAAAACAGTAGATTAAAGAGGGTGCTCCCTCCACTCTGCACAGGAAGGCAGGCAGAGTGCTACCTGCAGGGAAGAAGACCATGCAGTTACCCCTGGAAGGCAGCAGGTGCTTTATTCCTTCTCTCCTGTGCTGAGAACTGGGTCTAGACCCTCTGGGTTCACTGCATTTCATCCTCCAACCCCAATGTAGGCCCCCTCATCCTCACCAGCTGCAGAAATGGGGAACACCCAGAGCTCTACAAGGAAACCCACAACCCCAGTCCTGGCCCAGAGAACTGCTGTGAGGCAGCATAAGGCCCAGGCTTACCTGAAGCATCTTTTTGTGCACTGTATTCTTCCCGTATTCTCTGCACAGCTGTTCACTCAGCATCTGCAGCTCCCGTCCAAACTGGATCATTCGCTCGGTGGCAGCGTGGTTCCCTCCACAGAGCTGCCTCTGGGGACAGCTGTCTTCTAGAAGAAAGGCAGGGGAGAAGAAAGAATTGTCTCATTCCCCACCACTGCTCACTGTGAGGCATGCTGCCCTTCCTTAGCCATAAATCCTTCCCCTTCATGAGCAGTTACACGCTGTTTATCCAAGCAGAGGCTTTTCCTGAGTCCTGAACTACAATAGTGGGCTGTGGATTTTTCATAGGGCAACCCTGAGCTTTGCTTAATGCCTGGGGATTACCTACAGATCAAGTCCTCTGGTAAAATCATGGGAACCTGCAACTCCGGCTGTGTTACCCTTTCATGTGTGTAAGGTACTCCACACACCACAGAAAACCTGGTCTAACAAACTCTGGTCTCAGTCAGAGATACCAAAACACCACCAACTTTCCAATATTTGGTAAATATAAGACACCAGTAATTGGAGGAATTCCAAGTTTCAGAGGTAATGCAGTTGATTCACATCTCCCTCCAGGCTGAAGCACCTACAAGCAATATAGTCCTAGCTGACCATACTGTGCCAAAGACCCTTTGCAGCTGGGAATCAGTCAGTCTTACAGCTCAGTTCATTTCTCCAGGTGTTAGAAGTGCCTGGACTGCTCTGTGCTGGAATTCACAATCAGGGCTGAACAAACCTTTGACTCCTATTGCCTTCCCTGGCCTACAATATCACCAGCACTGCTGCACGACTATGAAAAGTCAAACCTAGTCTCAATTCTGAGACAGATTTATTTCCCTGGTGAAACTGGTATCTCGAGAACTTCATTCACCAGGGCTGGGAAAGAAACCCACACGACCCAACCACTACTTTAACTCTTGATCCCAGCTCTTTCTATCTCCCACTGCCTCTCCTGCCTGAGGCCCTACCCATGCTGGATTCATCTGTCTGCAGGATCTCTTCGTGTTTGTAGGTGCCATTCATTATCCTGGTGGATGAATTTTCCAGGACTCCATTGGGGTAGTGCTCAGCCTCCATTTCCATCTCGCTGTCGCTGTGGTTAAAGGAAGAAAAAAAAGTCAGATGTTTACAACAGGGAAGAAATGAAAAGCTCACATGACAAATGATGCCCAGCGATGACCAGTAAACCACAATTAGGTGCCAGTTAAACTACAGGAAGCGAGATGGTTTAATTCAGTGCAGTAAAAATCATTGCTGGCTTCTGAAGACAACTGATGAAACAGGTTTCTGTTACGAAATGAACCTGCAAGCCTGAGCCAGAACAGGGAACTGGGCCAGAACAGGTCTATCTCTGCTGGGAACAGCAGTGACCCTGTAGATAGGAAGAGTTACTCTGTTGTTTAAAAAGAGCAGAACAGATGCTCTTCAGAAAGAACACCGAGCCCTGTCCCACCACCTCACCCTCCTCAGGGACCTACAAGGAAAAAAAAAAAACTATACCTGGTTTCTTGGTTACTCGTACTACTGTGCTGCTGAGATTTGGTAGAATCTGTAGAATTGGACTCTGAGTAGTTCACAGATGAGGGGGAGGAGGAGGAGGAAGATGACGAAGATGAACTCAGTGTTGGGTATTTACTGTGGCTCTGTTTGCTTTTTGTGGACATGACTCCATTGCTACAGGTAGGACTATCTGCTCCTGAAGGTTAAGAAGGATGGGAAAAATGAGATCAGACTGACACTCTATTGTGAAATCAACACTTTGTCAAGTAGGCCCCAAAAGAAGAAAGCAAAAGATCAAAGATCTTAATTATCCAGCAATATTGAACTCATGGGGTTTAGAGAAAGCACAAACGAATTTGGAAAGAACTGCACTGTTCACCATCAAGAACCAAACATAAGGAAGTGCCAGAAATGGGCTGTAAATAAGGGATTGGCAGAACCAGCTCACACAAGCACAGAAATTACCAAAACAAAACACACTTTCAGCTGTGAGCAACTTAAGACTCAGTGAAACAGCTCGAGCTGTTTTCAGGGGCTCTGCTCTGACCATAGTCAGAAATTACCTACAGAAGTATCTTGAGATGTCCTGGTTTACCTTGTTCTTTCTACTTAAAATCCTATAGTTTCATTGCAAGGTAAGTCCATGGGAGAAGAAGCACACATGCAACGCATCCCAATAACTTTGTACTAAACTGGCCAGATCAGTGCAACTTTACTGAGGCTCTGGACTGAGTTCTGCAGACTGGAGGGGCCCTAATGGAAAGCAAGTAACATAAGGGAAAGGAGCACTTCACAGCAAAATGCACAGAAAGTAGCAGGTGATGCACGATGCAGCAGTCTACCTTTCATTTTTGCTCTTTTCACTGGAAGACATAGGGAAAAAAAAAGCAAGCACTTACCAGTACTATGAACGTGTGAGTTGCTGGATCCGTGTCTGGGACTTAAGCTGGGGGACCCAGGGTAACTGTCCTGGGATCTGGGGCTGCGTGCACTGAAACAACGGACTTCACTGTCTGTCCCATTCACCATCTCCACAAACTGCCGACACCTGATTTCATGGGAAGAAAGAAGAAAAGGGTGCGTGACAGCCAGCATGTCCTGCACTGATGTTTCCTCAGTTACTGCCTGCAGAAGTCTTAAGAATTGGATGGGAGTCATTTCTTGGCTTCGAAAGAGCCGTTTTAGACTCTTGGTATATTTGTATTGTGAGTGCCCTGATGATGTTACAGCAGGACAGAGTTCATATAGTGCCATGCGGATGCTAATGAATGCTGAGAACAATACTGAGACAGACATGCAGTATAACAGCAGTCACCCTTCTTTTCAGCCCCACGCCTGGGGGAGCACCAGTGTTATCAACACGATGTTCCACCTTGGCTAACATCAGTGAAAGCAGAGAGAGGATGAGAAAAGGCATTTCAGCATCAGTGGGGCCATAAGATCAGAGGTGAAACACTTCATAAATTCAAAACACAGCACATTTCTCACGTGGCAGGGCTTAGAAATACTCCTTCAGTTAACCAAATGCTCCCAGGTCTGTGCTGCTCTGAACCCAAGAGAATTACTGTGATGCTAAGCCTGCTGTGAGGACACATGGTGAGATAGAGTTTTCTTGGTCCCAAAAAGCAAGTTTATTTCCTTTGCACTGTTCCTTTACAACATGGTTTCATCTCCACCACCTCTGCAGGTACTACAAAACTAGATGGGTTTTTCAAGGCAGGTACTAAAACTGGAGCTTCACCCCTCTATTCCATATCTTAGAAATGCTGGCGACCAATGGGACCTCAGGCAGAATTCAGACCAAGATGTGCAGCCTCCCTGGGTGACAGGGCAGCCCCTTATCTCCTTCAGCTTCATTAGGGAGCAGAAAGCTATTCATACTTACTTTAACATGAAGAGCAGGTTGGGGTTATGTTCTAGGAGGCCAGGGTAGAGCTGCTGGGTGGCTTCTATAGCCTCTCCAACTCGGCCTGCTAATACTAGCTTCTGTATTCCTGAAAGTAAAAGGAAACCTGTTGACACAAAGGGCAAGCCAACAAGAATGGCTGGAAGAATTTCAGAGAGAAGTCTCAGGTATGTCACACAGCTCCCCAGTAGCACCTCACAGAAGGGCCAGGGAGATCTGGGGAGCACGCTGTATTTATTATGGATTAGGATGAAGAAAAGTCTGTGTAAATGTGGGAGAATCTGTTAGGAGCTCAGAAACACTTGGAACATCTGAAAGATGAAGTGGGTGCACTGGGCTGGGGTGCTCTGTGCCTTTACTCCTTTAGTCAGAGGAGCTGGGCAGCAGTGGAAAAGACAGAGGACACAACAGCTGGATGGGAGGAAGGAGGATGCTGGGGAAGCTAAGATTTCAGAGGGGAGACCCCTGGGTCACTCCATGCTACATCCTCTTGCTGGTTCATGCTCAGAACATTACTGTATGGCTGGCCACCAGACAAGCAATGAATGACTAACAGGGCTGGAGGCTTAAGCCACAGCAACACCAACAAAACAAACAACGATAGGCTGATTTTTGCAAATCATAGAGTCATAGAATAGCTTGAGTTGAAAAGAACCACAATGCTCATCCAGTTCCAACCCCCTGCTATGTGCAGGGTCACCAACCAGCAGCCCAGGCTGCCCAGAGCCACATCCAGCCTGGCCTTGAGTGCCTGCAGGGATGGGGCATCCACAGCCTCTTGGGCAACCTGTTCCAGTGCCTGACCACCCTCTGGGTGAAAAATTTCCTCCTAATATCCAACCTGAACCTCCCCTGTCTCAGTTTAAAACCATTCCCCCTTGTCCTGTCACTACCCAGCCTCACAAACAGCCATTCCCCCTCCTATTTATACCTTCAAGTACTGGAAGGCTACAATGAGGTCTCCCTGGAGCCTTCTCTTCTCCAAGCTAAACAAGCCCAGTTCCCTCAACCCTTCTTCACAGGAGAGGTGCTCCAGTCCTCTGATCATCTTAGTGGCCCCCCTCTGGACCCATGCAGAGCAGCTGAAAGCACAGCCCAGCAATCCTCATTACCAATCCCCAATAAGAATTTGAAACAATTCAGCCTAGCTCCCATTTCTCAGTGTCTATTTGCTTGTTGTCATAAATGACAGCTGAAACCAAAGACATGCTTCTCACACCAATCTGTGTAGCAGTCTCCTTCATTCTGTTCTGTTCCTTCCACTTCCTTGCACACAATTTTCCACATCTCACTGCTTTTGTCAGCTCTCCTCTTTGCCTTGTTTGGCAACTTTCACAGATGTTTCTGCCTTTTCTACCTTCCTCTCTTTTTGTTTTCCCATCTGTGCTCTCTTCACACCTTTATTTAAGCCCTAACTGCAGAGCTCTGTATTCCTTCCCTCCAGGTTGCCTCGTCACCTGTGCTCACAAAGACCAGACCACGTTGTCTCACACAATGAGACACCCAAACCAGCAAGAGCACCAGCTGGGTGAGGGCTGCATGGCCTGGGAAGCAGAGCCCATCAGCACTAATCACACAAAGGCACTAATGGGCAGCAGCTCCTGTTATTCTAGGTAATGAGCAAAGCATCCAAGCCAACTGAATGCTGGCTCAGCACATGTGATGTATGGAGGGACAACTACAAAGGGGCACGATGCACCTGATGTGTGATGGCCACGTGAGAAATGGTTCACAAAGGAAAGGGAAATGCATAGGGCAGGGCAGCCTGCATTCAGTGGGAGAATGCAGAAAACACACCAATGTTCTGTGACCCTGTGGTCTGAGTCCATGAATAGAATGGCTAAAAAAGCAAAAGTGCAGCAGGAGAAAGCTGTAAGTCTTATTCTACAGGAGCCAGGAGGGCTTAAACACTGAGAGATGAACCACTGCAGGGGAAAGAGAAGTATTCAAGGCAGACACAGAATATTAATTCTTAGAATTGTCGAATCATTTGAGCTGGAAGGAACCTTTAAAGGTCATCTAACTGCCCTGCAATGAACAGGGATACCTACAGCTCCATCTGGGACATCTACAGCTTGCAAAAAATTTGGAATAGTTCCATTATAAGCGATTTGCAGTGATCACTGAGTCCAACTGCATGACCACTTCATGGCTAACCAAAAGTTAAAGCATTAAGGCCATTGTCCAAATGCCTTTCAAACACTGGCAGGCAGAAGGCAGCTCTCTAGGAAGTCTGTTGCTGTGTCTGCTCACTGAATTTACCCAAATGAATACAAAGGGACTGAAAGACTCATTAACTCTAGGAGCTGTAGTTCAAATAGATTGATGTGTCTGGATCCCTGTAACCACGGTAATAAAACTGCCTTGCTGCAAAGATTTGTACTGAAGAACCCAAATCCAAAGGAATCTCAGAAGCACGGTGACTTCAGTTGATGCAAATCCTAGGTGATGAGACTTATTCTCCACCAGTCTGGCACTACTTCTGTCCTGGATAGCAATGCTACAGTCAAAACTGTAACACAGCCAGAATGCCACGTGTTGGGAGTGACCACCCAAGAGACTTACTTTGTCTGTTCTTTATTGAGGTCTGTTCTTCCTGGATTGCAGTGTCTGTGACTCTGGCGAAGGCAGTTGCTGTTGAACAGTACCCATGATGAACCAAATATGAAGAAACCATACTAGAAAACAAGAAAACACAAACGGATGAAGAGGCATTGGTAATATGAAGTAATCCCACTGCAGAAAAGAATCAGTGGAAGTTGTAATTTCAGTGAACAAGCTCAGCTCAGCTCATAACCAAGGTCCTAACAAAACCACAAAGCTTCCAGTTTCACCACCCTCTGGGCTCAGCCAGTTTTCAACCCACATCCCTGTCTGCCCACCATCATGCATGAAGACATCAGCAGCTTGTTTGTGATGGGAGATGGTGTCAAAGGCCCTATTCTAGTCCAAGCAGATAACATCCACTGCTCACCCCTCATCTACCAGGGCAGTCATATCATCATAGAAGTTTCTGAAGTTGGTCAAGCACGACTTCCCCTTTTGAAGCCATGCTGACTATGCTCCTGATGATTTACTTGTTCTTCATGTACCTGAAAATAGCCATAATTGCATTTTTGGTTTGGTTGGGTTTGCAAGCCTTTGGCTCGGGGCTATTTCTTGCTCTTTCGGTTCTGAATCCAGCTGACTTATATTCTGGCCTTTTTCCTATGATAGAGTATTTATGGTTTCCTCTCCACTGCCCTTCACCCCTTGCTTCACCTCAGTGTGTAAGTCCTTCCATTACTACAAGCTTTCATGCAGACATTGGCTGAAAATTTCTCCAATATCTTTTAAGTTTTAAGCAGCAACGATCTACGCAGGAAAGGTTATTAAACAACAAAAGACACGTTAGATTTGAACAAAATGCAACTTTTGCCATAAGAAAACAGAAACAGACACGGAAGAGAACACAAGAAACTCAACAGCAGAATAGTGACTTACTTCTGCAGCATGGCTTGCCACTCGCCTAGCCTGTCTCCTATGGGAAACCGCTTAATGGTGCTCTGAATCTTTGCTCGCCACTCCCTCATGTAGTCCTCAATGTCAAACACAAATGGCTGCTGCCCAAAGTTGGCATCCACTATCTCTCCTGGAGTCTGGAGGCCCACTGTAGGGTACAGGTTTGACTGGGAAAGAAGAAGAAACATGCTGTAAACTCAGTTTTTTCTTACTGGTTCTGGTTAGGTGGTTTGGTAGCCAAAGAGCTGCTCTTTAAAATGTAACACGTAGGAGAAGAAGAAGGGGCAACAGATTCCTTATAGGTAAAACTCAAGGAATATCATGACTTACTGTGCAGTTATTAGAAGTTATTGCATAAAACCAGAGCAACGAGTTCAATTTCAAACAGCAAACCCAAGTGTTTTCCACTGTTTCAAATGAACTCACTTATTCCTTGACAGCAGCTGTCAAGGTACTTTACACCTCTGATGATAAGGAAATGGATTGTAGTGGATCCACCCAAACAAGAAATTATCAACAGATGAGTTTTATTAAGACACTGAGGCCTTGGAGGGTGACCAAAGAAGGGCAATGAAGCTGGTGGTGATTATATACAGGTGAAAATACCTCTAAAAGTGAGCTAATAACCCAGATTCCAGAGATGATGATCTAATTAAAAGAGGTGGTGAAAGGCTCTGTAGAGGTTCTCTGAATTCAGACTATTTTAACAATAACCAGGTTGGATATTAGGAGCAATTCCTACTGAGAAGGAGCAGTGATGCAGTGGCACAGCTGCCCAGGGAGGTGGAGGTCATCATCCCTGGAGGTGTCCCAGAGCTGTGGGGATGTGGCAGAGAGGGATGTTGGCAGGACTTTTCCAAACTAATGACTGATTCCATGACTTCTATATGGATACAAATTGTACCTCTGAGCCCACTTTAACATGAAGAGAAATGGCACTGGAGAAGGTACAGGTTTGCCTGGTTCTCAGCCTGCATCACGTTTTTTAAGCACATGCTCCATTCACAATTACATTACTTTTCTTCAGCACAAGCTGCTTTTCTGTTGGCAACACAAGAAAGCTGCATGAATCCTTGAGCATCTACTGACAGCCTGCAAGGCTTAGGAAGAAATCTCATGGCACTCATGGACTACTCAGTATCATTATTTTCCACTTTGCTCTAACACATTCAGGACTGTTATGGCTAAAAACCAGACACTGAGCAGGGCACAGAGATGCAGTGTGGCACAAAGTGGAATTCAAGCCTGGAAGGTGCCTGGTTGTGGTGTCTTGCTCATGGCTGAGCCTAAGTTAGGTGTCAAGAAGGTAAAAACATAACTCCAAAGCCTTCCACTCCCAAAAGGGGGGTGATAAAAAGATGAAAACAGAAGTGAAATGTCCAGAGGCAATGGGCACAAGTGGCAACCTGTGAAAAGTTTCTGATGGGGCATACAGAATACAGTCTCCTTTTGAGGATGAGTAACTGGAATAGGTTTCCAGAGAGACAAGAACATCTCTATTTTGGAGACTTTCAAAACTTAACTGGGTGCAGTGCTGCACAACCTGCTCTAGCTGTAACATCAGCCCTGCAGAGGGTTAGGGATGATGATTAGGAGTTGGACTTGAAGATCCTTACAAGTCCCTTCCAACCTGGGATATTTTGTGATTCGATGATCTCTGGAAGTTCCTTCAAGCCTAAATTCTTCTAAGATCCCATTATTTTGTGGGGTGTGGTGTCAAGATGGTGAAGAGGCAGCCATACAGATGAACTCTCAATATTATGTCATGGAGGAAGAAAGGAATAACAGCAGCCCCAATAATAACAAGGATCTATGGCAGGAGTGTAACTCCCTGACAACAAACAGGCTGGAAGAAACTCTTCTCATTTTGGGAAAGACACAAGGTGAGCCTCCCAGCCCCTCCTGTGGGATTACAGACACCAGCTCACCCCCAGTTCTCTCTTCTATGTGGAGTTCCTCAGTGTCAGGGCATATGGTTGATACTTTGCCTTTCTGGAATCTCAAATAATCAAATGAAAAAAAATGAATCTATAAACACAGGCTGAGAACCAGCATCAGAAATCAGGATGACTGCATCACTGTTGACTCAGCACATCTCTTGCTTTCACACTCTCCCACCACAGAAGTCGCTGCATTAGAAGGATGTGCAAGGAAAAGGCAGCATCATAAAGGGTGCCAAAGGAAAATGTATTTTTGAAGTCCTCTTTCCCACAGACTTTTGACCACCTCTCCCTCAGACTGCCAGCTCTTCATATCCCCACAGTTCATCTCGATTTGGTTTTCCAACCTTTTCCTTCCTTTGTAGCCCTGCAGTCCCACTCTGGGCCATTCCACATTCTTCTTTTTGCACTCTCACCACACAGCTGCTTTGCTGAGCAGGATTAACCTGATATGGGCTTGTGTAAATAAACAGAGCTAGGTGTAAATACTGATTTACAGAGGGGAAACTCCCTCTGTGGGATCTCCACTTCCATTTGCAAGCAGTTACTCTTGTATTAACTTCAGCCTGTGCATTTTTTTTTCCACCAATTACACTTGAACAAATGTAAACACTCTTCAAAAGGAACTGAAATACGGAACAAGCTGGAACAATTATGCTTAAGTGTGTGTCAGAATTATGCCAAGAAAACATGGGTTTCAATTACAAGTCCCCATTTCAACTTCCTGGCAAGTATTGCAAAATGCTGTCTTCCTCACTAGTCTCTGAAAGGGGAACTTTGCAATACACACTTTAAGGATGCAATTACCAAACTGATAATGTTCTGAAGGCTAACATTCATTTCTTGTGTAGTCCCACTGCTATGTCAACACAATCACCCTGCAGGTTACTGAAGCTCAAGAGGTGGAAAAGCAATGGAGCTTAACCAGCCAACCTTATGTTCCTGCCTGGATCACAACCTTGTAATAAATGAAAGACATCACTTGCAAGCTGTATCAACTTCTTGTTTTCTACTACTTCAAGACTTCTCTAGCAATTGGTGCACTGTGTAAATCAAAAGCCTAATGTGGCTTTAGGATCTCCTTCCTCAGGAGGGGTTGTAGCCTTAATTCTTTAGTGTAGCAACCAAGAAGCAATGGACCAAGGGAGCAAAAAGGGCCAGAAATATACCCTACTATGGAACACACAGGTGTGTGCAAAAGAGAGGGAAGAAGGAAATAATTCAAGGAGAGGAGAGTGGGACAATGGAAGTCAGGTGCAGACATCCTTAGGGTGAATCAGGCAACAGAGCACCTGAGTTATTTAGAACACAGAGAGAAGTGTCTGAAATCCACACTGAGGCAGAAGTTTCCTGACATTGCAGGAGATCAAAGGGAGATTGAGGAACAGCAGGAACAGAGGGATGCCCTGGGCAAGAGAGGGAGAAGCTGGGAATAACATCACTGAGCATTTCTGTGCTCTCTGAAGGCAGAACAAAAAAACCACTCAGTGACTTTGCACATACACTCCCCAGCCTGGATGCTGCCTTTGGAAGACAGTGACCTGTAACACAGTCTGAATGCAGGCTTTAATTCCAGGAGAAGGAGTGCCATATTCTTCGAGGTGGCAAGGGCTCAGAGGAGGTGTGTGAGCAGCCCAAATCCCAGCCATGGGATTATGAAGTTTCAGAAAAGAGAGAATCCACACCATTTAGCACTGTGGTTTACTATTTTTTTTTTTTTTAACAGACCATGAGAAAAGCAAGTAAAAAATTTAAAAAATCACATCCCCACACTCTTCCCCCTCCCTTCTGTTTGCAATCTTAGTTAAACTACTGAAAAGAGGTGTACTTACAGGGAGGTCTGTAAAGGCTATACCTGTGGGGGGAAAAATATTACAATTAAAAAGACAAAAGGTATTTTCCCAGCTTGACAACATCCATATCATGCTACAGAAAGTTACTACATCTCAGTCAGTCCCACCTTCTGACCCTGACTTTCACCACATTGAGAAGAATCTTCCCTCCCCAGCCCTGTCCTCTGGGGAAGGTCCACAGAAAAGCCTAAACCTTTTGGAAATCTCTCCTCAAGATTTAATTTTCCAAAAAGTAGCTCCTCTTTTCTTTGCTTCTCCCTCCGTTACTCTAAAGGAGATACTTTTCCAGGCATGCTTTGGGTTCAGAAACAGAGCTTTATTATCACGTTGCTTTGGGTCAGTCTGTAGCTGCTTCTCCTTACCAGTCAGAGACAGGAATGAGTATCCCAATGCTTTGCATTACAGCTGGGGAATGTTTTTGCCACTGGATCAAGCTGCAGCCTGGAACACCTGGGAAATACTGTGTAAAGAACAGCTTCATCCTCCACGATGCTGTTACAGTTCCAAATACAAGCAATGGAAAAAAAAGTTTTCCTTTTTCTTCGCTTTGGCATGTGGGAAGAGAAACAGAGCAAAACCTGCTAGATATCACAGCTAGTCATAGCAGGATCCATTTCTGCTCTAATCCACATCCCACTTCAGCCATCCTTTCTTTGCTGCACTGAAAAGCATTATAGCATGTGTCAAAGCAAGAGGGCAGCATTCTCTGATGTTAATGCTATGGCTGTTTTACGGGGAGATTTCAGGTGGTCAACCAGTAAAAGAACTGCAATGAATCAAAGAATCATGGAATGGCTGGGTTGGAAGAGAACTCAACACCCACCCAGGCCCAACCCCTGCCATGGGCTGGCTGCTCCCCACCAGCTCAGGCTGCCCACAGCCCCATCCATGGCCTGGGGCATCTCCAGAGATGGGGCATCCACAGCTCTCTGGGCAGATGAGCCTGAAATGGCCATGTAAACCAAGTTTGGGAGGCAACATAGGAAACAATTACCATCTGAAACAGCACAGATCCAAAATCAAATGAATCACAGAATGGCCCAGGTTGGAAGGGACCTCAAGGATCATGAAGCTCCAAGCTCCCACCACAGGCAGGGCAACCAACATCCACATTCAATACTAGGCCAGGCTGCCCAGGGCCCCATCCAACCTGGCTTTGGATACCTCCAGGGATGGAGCATCCCAGAGCATCCACAGCCTCTCTGGGCAGCTGTTCCAGCACCTCACCACTCTCATAGTAGATGCTTAGAAAAACAAACAGACAAACTGGATTTTGATTAGATAGCCAATGATGCTTAATTAACATCATGGCAATTTGTCTCTTCTATCACGTTGTCTACTTATTCTTTGCCTGTTGTGCATGTCCTGCCCTAAATCCATTTTCCACACACTCCCCATGACAGGCATAAGCGAAACACTTTGCTTCAACCCTTAGACAAGAATAAGGCTAACCTCCTCTCTGGAAGCACTCCCTTGCCCTCCAGCATCTCATCCAGCACATGGGCAAACATAGAACTTGTGAGTGGACTGCAGTGCGGGTGGGAATTTGGCTGGATTGTCAGCAATGAAGGGTCAGTAGCACAAAGTCCAAGCGTTGGCCCAGCACTAAGTCCAAGTGCTGTCCCTCAGGGATCAATGTTAGGGTCAACACAGTTTAACATCTTCACTAATGACCTGGATGATGGGAGGGCTCTCTGAAGTCTCACAGGTAACCAGGAGCATGGACAACATGCTGGAGGACATACTGCTCTTCAGGCTGCAGAAAGGATCCAGCACAAACCTCATGGAGCTCAGCAAAAAGCAGCTGAAGAGCTCTTCTGCTGGCTTTGAGTCCAACAAGAAGGGAGGCAAAGGGAAAAGGGGTTGTTTGGTCTAAAATATTAGGAGAGACACTTATTGCTGCCTCCAACTACCTAACAGGAAGGTACAGAAAAGACAGAGCCAGACTCTTCTTGAAGCTGCTTGATAATAGGAGATGAGAGGAAACAAAAGACAGGTTGCAGCATGGGAAATTCTGGTTAGATGTTAGGCAGGGAAAAAAAGTCAGAATGGAAGAACTAAACAATAAAGCAGGGGACCAGAAAAGCCCCCCTGGGGATCTCCATGCTTGGAGACAGTAAAGTTGGACACGTTTCTCAGTAACCTGACCTAGCTTTCAGCAGGGCTGTGAATGCATGACCTCCAGAGATCCCTCCCAGTGTAAATTGCTCTATGTTTCTGTAAATAAATTTATTACAGTGCCTTTAAATTAAGGCATTTATATGTTTAGTGCCTTCTATTATGAAACTAAGACCAATAAAATGTTTAAAACGTACACATGTAGATCTGTTGCACAAACAGATCTGAACCTGTACTGCTACATACCTGCAATCCAACCAAGTCAACAGCAGAAAGCAAAAGAACCACAGTTCTAACTAGGCAGCTGAATTTGAAACTGCACTCTTTCTCTGCAGCACTTCCAAAGCCTGGATCCAATGTGAAATAACAAACATTAGAAATTTAAAGACATAAGAACTGGACAGCTGAACAGATCACGAAGCAACAGTCAGTGTGTGAAAAGCCTCTTCTATAGGTCCATGGTGTCAACCTGATCATCAAGGCAGCGACAGAAAGGCATTCACTTAAATGAAGGGTCAGTGCTGGGGAGCAGTGTGATCAACACCTTCACCTGCTGTGCTGCAGACTGCAATAAGTGACAACATACTCAGCAAGATGGGCACCTTAAAGACTAGATTATGAAATAACAGCCTGTGAAATACTGCTATAAGTTATTGAGGAGAAGTATTATTATGCCCATGTAGCTCAACGCAGACCTGGAAACAGTCACCACCCAGTTAAACCACTTGGGTAAAACTGTTCTTACAGAGAAACCAGGCTGCAACTGCATTTGGTATTTTCTTCCATTTTAAATTTGGTTCATCTATCAAGTCTTGCTTTAAGCTCTTGCTTTAAGCTCTTGCTCTCTGTAAATCTGGTTTGAGAACAAACCTGTTAAATTGGGAAAGCTGGAAGGATATCTGTGGGTCTCTGTGACAGCTTTCTTCATTTGCACCAATGTTCCTGTTCATCTCTAAACTGGTGGCAAAATGGGTAACTTGGTCTTCCAAGAACCTGCACTCAAATTCAGACAGACACAGGACATTTTCTATGCCAGTGCTTCAGAGGGTTCCATGCTCTTCCCAAAGCCTTGCTGGTCCATTTACCTTGGGTTGCTGTCTAAGTCGTGGATTTGAAACACTCATACATTAGTCCCTGAGCAAACTCGTCCACTTAATCACAGAAACCTACAGCAGTCACTTTCCCTAATCACATCCTACATCCAAGACCATCTGCTTAATGGCCAGAGCCTCAGATTTCTCACTCTTTTTCTCCCAATTCACTCTCACCACACTCCCAGCCCTATCACATCATCTTTTTTTTTTACTGCCAGGACTCTGCTCAGAACTTGCCAAAAGCACTTAATGATAGCAGCCAGAAGACACCGAAGACATTTTCCAGAACAGATAATTAAGACTACATACAATGTCAAACAGTTCTCATGTGATGACTCCAAACAAAGTTCAAGACTTAGCTCCAACCATCCAGACATCCAGAAATTGTGATGGCCAAGAAAACAGTTCCTACTGGTCTTGATGGATCTGATTAAATGAAAAAGTACGGAGACAATGGAAGATCACAGTTAAGCAACAGGAAAACAATCGCAAGGAAAACAAAGGGGGGGCATGCATCTAAACAAAAGGCAAAAAGGAGTCGTGATGAAGACAGAATATGATGAAGAGAGAATATGACATGTAAGGAAAGACAAAGCTACGGTGTGTTCATTGAAAGTGAGACAAATTAAAATGCCTGAAGGCAGGGCAGTGAAACCTGCTGCCAAGATAGCTGTCATCAAAAAGGGGCTCGTTAGTCTCATGAATATTCTTCTATCTGCTGCAGCATTATGCAGTGACCTCATTCCCTACAAGCAGAGAGATTCAGCCTCAGCAGCTGAAGACTTCATGTCAGGGAATGCCAACAAAAAGCACATTCATCCCCTTCCTGATAAACCTTTGCAAAACACACAGCAAAATGTGCCAATAGCTTTTGTGGGGGTCAGGACAACAACTGATGGCCTGCTACTCCCCAGTTCTTCAATCACTGCTGACCACGTCAGCTGAATGCAACCATTAGGGAATGCCACAGCTTCTGTTTGATGCTGTTAGCTGCTGCTTTCACACCTCTACCTGTCTTCACAGTACAGAACTGCTCATGGATTGAGTTAAATTTAGAATAATACAGCTAGTGATTGGTCTCACTAGGTAGTAAAACTGAAGTCTTCACCAGAAATGGCAGAGCATCACACGCAGTTTGGCCAATAAATAGTTACTTCAAAAAAGAAGTTAAATGATATTCCTAAAGAAACATCCTCAAATCCGAGCAACTTTTCAGGAGGGTTCTCAGAGAAGTCTTTTTTTTTCCACTTAGGGCTGCAGACCTCAGTGTGTTGCAAAACATGTGGTCTAAATTCTGGGAAGCCACATGCCTCACTTCTACGCAACCATCCCCTAAAAATCAACAGACAGTGGGAATGAAACCAGAGGAAAACTGAAAACCATTTTTCCAAAGAATTTGGGTCTGCTTGAGCACTAGGGCCTTCTGAATCTGCCTCATGAAACAGATTCTTCCTGAGACAGAGGAGAAGCAGCCCCATACTGCAGATCCATCTCTGCTACTACAACATAGCCTGCTACCTTTGCAGCATCACAGACTGGTGGAGGCTGGCAGGGACTCCTGGAGGCCATCTGGTCCAATCCTCTGCTCCAGCAGGGCCACCCAGAGCTGTGTCCAGTACCACATCCAGCTGACTTTTGAAGCTCTCCAAAGACAGGGACTCAATTTTGGGCAGCTTGTGCCAGTACTCTGACACCTGTGCAGCACAGATGTGCTTCCTGATGTTCAAGGAGCCTCCTGTATTCCAGTTTGTGCCCACTGCTTCTTGTCCTGTACCTAGGCACCAGTGACAAGAGCCTGGCTTCATCCTCTTGGCATCATCCTTTCTACTCCCAGCTCTCTCAGCCTTTCCTCAGAGCAGAGCTGCCCCAAACCCTCAAGCATCTTCATGGCCCTTTGCTGGGCTCTCTGCTGTAACTCCATCTCTCTCATGCATTGGGGAGCCCTGTATTTTTCTTACCAAGAACTCACCAGAAATTCTACACATTACAGCCACTCTGGACCTGCTCCTTCCTTCAGCCCAGCCAGTCTGATAACTGCTCTGATAACTCTTTTAAATGGACCAGCTTCTTCACTGTGATTCAATGAAGTACAATTGACACAGCAAGGAGAAGCAAAGGAAAGGAGTGCTTGTTCCCTGTTTACTGCATGGCTTATAGAAAAAACTGACCAGAATTTATCCAGGTTGAAGAATCCAAGGGAAAGATATTTTAGGTGAAAATGGACACCACTTTTTATTTTAGACAAATCAGATACAATAGATGCCTGGAAAACACCTGTGAGATATTCCTTTGGACAAAAGCCTTAAGTAACTTTAGGAGAACTACTAGAATGACTGTGAAATAAAGCAGCATTTACTTCCTATGCTGAATTAACATCTATGTTTGGGAATACTTGGACCAATGCTTATGAATGGACAAGTCCCTTTAAAAACTGATGATGCTGGGAACTATGGTTTTATAGCTAGTTGAATAATATGCTAAGCTTCCCACCTCTTTATTTCCCTGCAGCCCTGCCATTAGCTGTCTAATCCAATCTCCCATGCAGAAGCAGAAGAAAGGAGTACAGACTGGAGACACAACCCTAAGCTACTGAAACTGAGTAGAACAGAAACCATTTTACCTGTCTTGAAGCCAACTTACAATCCTGACTGCAGCTGAGTGCTCTTTGTCTCTCTTGTTTCTTGAATGTTACCCACAAACGTGGAACAGGAGATAGAACCCATGAAACTTATTGAGAGTAAACAGCAGTTGAGCACCTTGAGTTTCTTTACTCACCTAAACTGTGGCCATTTTTTGTGTAGAAGCAGGTATTGTTGATGAGGTTGACACAGCAACCGATGACATCTCCAGTTGTGAACGTAGGGCCATAGGGCTGCCCTGTCCCCGAGGAACAGAAGGAATGCCCATCATCACCGTGGTACCCATAGGAATGTTTATCCCATCCTGAAGAAAGACAAAAGAACAGGTCAATAATGAAGGCATGTCAACAGTGAAGAATAACATGGCAACTACAGCTTCCAGGACATAATTTTTTCACATTTAGAAATGCCCAGTATAACTGATGACTACCATGTTTTAAATTGACATGGATTGACACAGATTGTGCCAAACTGAAGCAGAAGCACAAGAAGAGGCTCTGACCATTTCCTGACCTTACACAACCTACAAGTGAGAAGGCAACAGGGGACCACAGAACCTGTTAAATGTGGAGTAGCATTTGGTAAGTGGACTACAGAAGAAATAAACAACTCCAGGCTGGAATCACAGAATCACAGAATAACTGGATCACAGAATGGTTGGGTCAGAAGGGACCTCAAAGTCCATCCAGTTCCAACCCCTGCCACGAGCTGCTTGTCCCCTATTGGACCACATTGCCCAGGGCTCCATCCATGGCCTTGGGCACCTCCTGGGACAGGGCATCATCAGAGGACTCCAAACATTCATGACTTCTCAGGAAAAAGGTGAACTATTCTGTGGATGTCCAGAGCTTCCAGTTCATTGCATCACAGTTCAGTAATGCCAAGAGAAAAGTCACGGAATGGAGCAAGACTGAAACACGGACCTCAGGGCAAAGTCTGGGAGTGAAACTCTGTGACAGAGTCCTAGCAAACCACAGCCTAGAAATGGTGAATGATTCCCATTAAATCCCAAACACACACAGGGATGGACAGACATCCCAGCTGCCAGCTCTGCAGCTCCAAACACCAGTCCTGTGTAATGTCCTCCTAAAGGACAAGGACAGCAGCACTCTCAGCAAGCTCTAAACCAGCCAAACAAGGCTGCCAAAAGCAGGGAGCAATACAGGCTCTAGAGTTAACTGCCAAAATCCCCCTGCTGACTCCTTCCAGTAAAAATCTCATTCAAATATTAACATGGCTCCTTTCCACTCTCTCTTACATTTTCTCTGTTGTTGATTCACTACTCGAGTCTCCTTGGACACAGAGCTGTTAATTGTGTGTAAATTCATGATCTCTCAATGAAACGGTTTGTGAATGTCAGCTGATAACTCTGCTCAGTTTATCTCCTAAGCCACTTAATCATACAATCCAAACACAAACTTGCAATTCTTCTGCACATGACTTTGCAGCAATGAAGCAGTCAGATGCTCACATATCCATTCTACTCACTGGATAAGGCTAAGTTTGTTGGTGTGTATTGCAACAACACCTGGAAAAAAAGCTTGATATGAAACATTCTCATTTGATAATCACTAATAGAACCATAGAATCACTAAGGTTGGAAAAGACCTTCAAGATCATCTAGTCCAACCAGCCACCCATCACCACCAATACTACCAGTTAAGGAAATCTCGTCCATTCAGCATGCTGCTAATGATATACAGGGTTAATTTCTTCCACTCAGATGTTGTCTAGTGCTGAATTTGGACCTAACGTGCATTAAATCTGTCAGCCTTAGCAAATCACCACGGTCATCCTAAAAAAACAAGTCAGTTTTCTCTGAGGGTTGTCAGACTTAAGGTAGTTTGGTTAGGTCGTGGTTGGACTCGATGATCTTTAAAGTCTTTCCCAACCTAAGCAATTCTGTGATTCTAGGATTCTACTTGTTATAAACATAAGATGTGTGGCACTAATTATGTGCCTGACCCTGAGTTATTTATTAATCAAATAACGTATCAGCATTTCTAAAATTCTCTCCAGACTCACCATCAGGGTAATGGTGTGCAGGTCATTCCAGCACTGGCAAACTTGAGCCATCCTTCTGGAACTCCCTGCCATTCTAAATCAAAATAACCATCAGCACTTCCAATACTTCTAAGTCAAAGCTATTTGGGCTCCACTGATCTAAACAGCACCTTCAGATGCTTGGCATTCTCTCTGGTTACCAGCAGAGTGGGGAATAACTCACCACATGTATGTTTTCAATGCATCCTCTGCCTTCTCTCCAACAATATTTGCTGAAAACTCGGACTTTTCTGCATCATTAACAATTTACTACTGCCACCTAGTAATAAGTCCATGGCATTACAATCAATTCTTGAGCTCCTCTTACTCAGAGCATCTTCCTTTACAATCCTAACACTTCAAAAGGGCTGAATGAGGCTTCCCAGACGACTTCCCCACACTTAACTCTGCAGATCCTCTTGACAGCCTAACCTTTGCACTACCCTTAGTGAAGCATTTCCAGAAGTTAACTGTTGTGACCCAGCAGGCAGAGATGAGATTTTATCTGCACATTCTTCAAAAGAACGACCATACAGGATATTGGGTCAACCTAGATAGGAATCCTGTTCAACGTGTGGTTGCCTGTGAGACAAAACAGGACATGAAGCATCATGCTCTCACTGAACGCTTCCCGACTGCGTGCAGTACAGATGGAGATTCTGTTGAGTTAGTGCTCCTCAAAGGATTTTCTTTCTCTGGAATTCTCCAGTCCTCCTATAAGCACACATAAAGACTCACACGATATCCACAGATGCACACGGGGAGGAGTTTCACGGCATGACTGCAAGCTGTGTGAATCCAGCCTCCTCCTATTTGGATTCGGTACCCTGCAGTTCTTGCACTTGGAGAAGATGGCAAACCATGCATTCATCTCCAGAATACACATCATGTATAGGCTTCTACTAAATCCCTCATAATTACCCATTTTCCAGGCTAATGAGTCTTTGCCTTTATAGCTATTCCCTGCGTTTCTAACCATCACCATCTGGACCTTTCCCACATTTACAGCGTTGCTTTCCAGAACGGAGATGCAGGTGCACCACACACAAGGGAAGTGGGTTGCAGTTGTTTTCTGTACTGTCCCCTGCCAGTTAATCCTAGCATTTTCCCCTTTATTACCCTTTTGACCACTGATGTTTCCATGAAGCCTTTTTTTTGTGTGTGTAGCTTTTATTGTGTAACCTAAAGGCTCACACTGAGTCCGAACTGCATCACCTCTCCTGCCTGTGAAGGGATGCTGCTGCTCTGTGCTGACCCCATCACTGTGCCCACCCCTGCAAAGCCATCTCTCATGGCTCCTCTCCAGCACCTTTCACCTTACTGCCCATAGCAATTCAGTGTCCTTCACAAAAATGCCTCCTCACCGCTCCATCACTTTTTCCAAGTCATTTCTGAACACTCCTAGCAGCTCTGCCAAGCCCAACCCTATGGCCACCACCCCCAACACCGAAAACCATTCACCCCATCCCTTTCCTCACTTTCAATAATTCAGAATCCCACTGGCACATCTCCCCTCGGCCTCCCCACCTCCCTAAAGGAAGCCTTTTAGACTTCCAAGACAAAGACAGCAACCCAAGGGCCATATCCACGTGCCTGCTGGCTCCCCTTCACAAAAGTCACTCCACGCCCTCATTACATCTGCCCTTCAGTAGAACTCTAATGCACTTGTCCACACCAGACACTGAGGTTCTCACACCCTGTGTTCCCTGACCCTTCTGAAGCCCTGAACAAGAGATGCAACACTTTCTCATGCAGAAGTCATTGAATAGTCATGCTAGCTGCTGTTTCATGAAGCTCCTCCTGAATAAAACAGATGGAACAGTCTTTCCCTCTAAGAAACCACCTCAGGTTTCACATGCTGAAAAGAAACCAAAGCGAGGCAGCCTTCTTACATGACAGGTAGCCTGGGCAAAAGCCCAGCTCCGGCAGGCTAGAGATGCTTTAACCTGCACAACTCGTGCACTGCCCTTTACATCAGGATTCAAATCAGAGAGCTCTCTATCAGCACTGGCTTATCTTGACCAAAATCACCATTTGCTGCTCCAGAGCCATGTGCCTTGCTCAGAGAGGGAAGACAGATGGGACAGTCATCTCATGCAAAGGCAATGCTGTGGGAACTAATGCACCGTGGTACAGCTACATCTTATTCTTCCATAAGAAGTCATATTCTTCTGGGGGGTCCATAAAGATCATGGACCTCCAGAGGTCATTACACCAAAAAATCCTAACTCCAAAATCTAGTGAGCTGGTGTGGCCGGCAGGTTCAGTTAGCACACAGCTCTTAAGGTTGGCTATTAGGAACAATTTCTTCTTGGAAGGAGTGGTGTGGTGGTGCACAGCTGCCCAGGGAAGGGAGTCACCATCCCTGGAGGTGTCCCAGAGCTGTGGGGATGTGGCAATGAGGGACACGGTGGTGATGAATCAGCAGCTGGACTTGATGATCTTGCTGGTCTTTTCCAACCTTAATGATTCCATACTCACAGCTAGGGACTGAAATGCACAGCAACAGGCCATATATAGTCACAGAGGAAAACAGTGATGAATGCTTTCATGTAAATGACCAAGAGCAGTATTTTAATCATCTCTTTGCTGACCAGATCCTCCTTCCATGCAGAATGCAGAGAGGAATGCAAACTGATGACAAGCCACTGTGCATCAAGTTTTGAACGTGCCAGACTGGCCAGCGGGCACAAAATAACTGGGAAGGCAACATTCGTGGGCATCTGTGCTGAGCTCTCCTCTGATGTCATGCCAAAGGGCACACCTGCAAGGCTTAATAATCATGGAAATTTGGCTGTTTCAATAAGGCACATCTTGACACCTCTGCCTCCCCCTACTCTGCCATTTGTCATCATGAAAAGGACTGCAGACAGACAGGCTGACTTCACCACTGACACGTGGACTTCATTCCAGAGGAGAAATGTGTTCCACGAGGTTCGTACCACACATTCGTGGTAATCTGTAGCTGGTGCAGAGCTGCTACGAAGGGCAGGGCCTTAAAGAGATTCCCCAGCAATCTGACCTGCCATCAGGAAAGCTGAGACATCTTAAGAGGTAAGTGATGCTGGAGAAATACACACTATGTGAAAAAAAGACAGGAGTTCCTCAGAGAAGCTGAAATGAGACGTGTGAACAGAGGGGTTGTGTCCCTCGTGCCCCCTGTAAACTTGGAGGCTGGTTCTTCACGACAGACTTGGGTGCACAGAACATCTGCAGCATCTTCCAAACGTTACCTGCACCTATTTTCTTTCTTTGTAGCTG